GGGGCCCCCAGAGCCTCAGGAGCCACAGGCCCGGCTGGCCACTTTCCCATGTGGCTGTGTGGTGTCCTTTCTGTGGACACTCGAGCCAACTCTGAGCATTCATGGAAACAGACAATGCCCATCAGGCTGTGGATGTCTTTTGGATGGGTGTTACGATGAATGTAAATTGGGGATAAAAAGGTTTCCTGTGGAAAGCCTCCGCAAATGCAGAATCAATTACCATTTGATTTACCAACCACAGAAAATCCTTCTCATTTTGAGAGAGCTGAACAATAAGTCATGATTAAAAATGACTGTAATCCTATTCATGGCATGTTAGTGCTATGTTACATGGGCATGCTTGTGAGTGGAAGGAGTTCCCCTTCCTGGGGTCTTCCTGGGAGATACCCAGGGCCCTTGAGCCTCTCCTTGTGTATACATTCTTGAGGGTCTCCACCTCCGAGGAGCCCAGGAGCCTGAGAGGTGTCCTTGTGTGACCTGACTGGCATGTCCTATCATTCCTAGCATTCGTGTTCTCAGGCACAAGGCATTTCCCCCCATTCGTTTTGTATGCAACTACAGGGAACCCTCCAACTACTTTCAGCTGATGCAGGGGCTCACATTTGTGTGTGGTTTCTGATAATGCTATCTCTGATACAATGCTTCAGTGAGCACACCCACATCTTAGACAGAACTCCCTGGTCTCCCCCACTCAGTGCTGGCTGTCTCCTTACAGTGATCCTCTCTCCGGTAACCCTAGAGGAACCTTCAGAATCAGCTTTGTCTTCTCTTTGCCCTTAGCCTCCCTCTGGCACAGATCTACTATTCCACCTCTTCCTCCTGAGCCAGTCCTTGTCACCAATGCCCATCTCAGAGGCCTCTCCTCTGTCAATTATTTCACTGTTTTGCTCTCTGTTATAGGATGAATATTCTTGAAAATAAAATAACAAAAAAGACCAGCTTTGATAATGCCACTCACCTGCCAAAACAATTGTTACCTGGTGTCCTAGGGTCCAGGGTTCAGTCTTTGACATTATCATATGGCTTTCCACCCCATCTGTCACTGGGCCTTCCTGCTTCCCCATCACCTATAATGTTCTTGTGTGTTCCTGCTATTAAGGGCAGACTGGGCATCCTGCCCTTCCTGACCCAGCAGCTTGCTGGGTACCCTGCACATCCTTGTTCAGACAGTGGACACAATGCCAGGCTCAGGATTTTCCTTGACACACCCTTGCACCTGTCTCCAGGCCTGGCTCCCATTCCTGGGACTCTGCTAGAACCTGAGGCAGAAGGTAGCTAAGGAAAGGGTTGGAAACCTTCTTTCTGGACTAGACTTGACATAAGAAAACCAAGGAAGCACCTGGGGGAAAAGAGAGGGCCCATCCTGAGGGCATTTCACTGACCTTCTCAGACCTAAAAGCTACAACTCTTGTTGCATAGGTCCTGCTTTACCTTGGTCTTAACCATCCAGTAGAAAAGTATGAAGACGAAATATAGGAAATAAAGCCATGCTGTTAAGTTGAGCTATGGGGGACTCAGGTCAATAATTTCTGGCATTGCCAGTTAAACAGAAGACCCAATGCTATTATGGGCTACTGGACTCTTTTAGAATATTTTGCTGAGTTTACACACCTATAATATTCAATAACGGGACCTTAAAAAAAGGGGATACCTATGAATGTCCATTTTGTATCTGTGTATTCAAAGTGGTTGGGATAGATATATAGTTGCATTCTCTTAATGAATAGAATAATTGTTCTAATGGTGTTTGTAAATAGGATCACAAGTCCACATCTTGTACAGTAATTAACCACTAAGAAGAATATATGCAGTGTATTATTTGTTGAAACTGTACTTCTGATTTGATTTGAAACTGTCTCATTGCTGTTTATCAATAAAACTTTGAAAAAAAAAGAAATAATATCCAGATTTATATCCATTGTCACTTAGCAAAAAAAAAAAGAGAGAGAGAGGGCCCACCAGGGAGCTGCATTCTGAGACCAATCCGTTGGTTGATCCCAACTCTAATTATCATGTTATTGACTATGCAGAGTTGATCCTCCCATGTGCTTTGGGCATCATAACAGTTCTTCTAAGCGCCATGAAAGGGGAAAAAAATTCCAATACCAATGGAGGAGCTGAGGCGAGCCACTCATTGATCAGAGCCATTTTTCAGACCAAACCCTACATCCCATCCTAAAACCCCTAACACTGAGCCTTCTCAGTACTGTGAGCTCGTCTCATTGATAGAAGACTCAGTGGAGTGTACCTTGTTTTTCCCAATCAGGTACATCTCTGATCTTGCTGCTATTCCTGTTGTCTTGTTCAATTCTTTAAGACATCAAGACCTAGACAAGACTTCCAATATCTTTCAAAGCCCTGTGCAGGGTCGCTGGGCCACATGCTTTCCTGATTTCCTGGAGCATCCCAGGTTTCTTCTGACTCCAAGCACAGTCTCCATCTTTTCTTTTAATGGCACTTATGATTTACTCTGCTTTAAGACATAGCAATCAAAGCATAGCTCTGGGTATCAGGAGATTTGTGTGGAAGAGTAGAAAGAGGGTTAGTGTGTGTATACTTCAGCTCCTCACCTGCCCCTCTACCCCTTTGGACTGAATGTGCTGCCAATGTCGTTGGACTTGACCTTGTAACCCACATATTTGGCACAGGCTGGGTATTCAGGAACATGATTTTGTAAGAAACAGTAGCTGAGTGGATTTCTTTTATTGGAACCTGCCTGTATGGGTAAATCGAGGACCCATTCTTTCGGAGTAGAATCTCCTTTTATCTCTTTCTCTGGGGAAGGCTGGTATGTTTCACAGAATCACAGTGGGGGCAGCTGTCTTACTGCCTGTGGTCATGACTGGAGATGTCCACCCTACCATTTTTGCTTATCAGAGGGAGATGGTGGAGGCAATAGGCAGTGGAGGAAAGAAGAAGAAGAGGAGAGGGACCAGCCATGGGCTCTGTGACCAGGAAATAGTGCTCCCTCCATGTAGCCCAGCACCTTGTCCTCTTCTCTCACCACTGGCAAGACTGCAGTGTAGACTGGGAAGGAGACTGCTGAGTTCCTCTACCCACAGCTGTCTGTGGCTCCCTACTGCCCCCTGCCTGCTGTGCTCTGGTTCTGCATACAGTCTAGTCTTGGCTTCCTCATTGTAGGCGTGGGTGTATCTTGGGTTTGACATGGTTATGTGTGGTTTATCCATGTCTCCTTCATTTATGTTGCTACTTCTGATAAAGTGTCTTGGGAATTTGTTAATGAGTTTTCTTTTGAATCTCTCTCCTCAGTGGCAAAGCTTTTAAGTGGAGAGTAAATCCATCATCAGAAACCTTTGGTTGAGCCCTGTTTCCAAGGAAAACATTTTTATACACTGGTCAAGAGACCAGGTGTGAGGCCACTGAAAGCCTGAAAACACAAATCATCTTCTTGTCTGAGAGCACTCTGCTGACATCACTCGCAAAGTTTATACTAGGCTCAGTTCTGTGTTCAGACAATTCAGCTCAGAAACTTTCTCTAGTGCTAAGAACTTGGGACTTTAAAGATCCCTGCTCTGGAGACTGAATGTCTAAAGAAACATAGCTACTGCCATCACCAAAGGACAGCTTTTGTGAGCACATGATACCACTGACCAGGCTTACCCACCATTTGCCGATGACCAGCATGTCTTCATGTTGCAAATGATTCCCTGAAAGACTGAGACAAGCCTGACCTCAGGAAAGAAGACAAGGTTTGGCCTTGAGTATGCATAGAAACATCCCTTGGAAACAGAGGACACAGAAGAATGACAGTGTTCAGTGGGCCTACTCCTAACACAGATGAGATGTAGGCATTCCCTGGGCTACCTGTTCTCCCAGCAAAACTCCAGCTAACACCAGCTTCCCATATCTTTAATAGAAGATAGGACATATCTGTGGAATTTATTCTCCAAGTTTCCTTTGTTCCCTATGTTCCCATTCCCCTCCCACAGTACAAATTGCATTAAACATATGTTAGTGGACTATAAAAGCTTGATTCATGTCTGACATCCTATGCTATCCATAACCACAGAGGAACCAGAGCTGACATATTGTCCATTATATAAATACATATATACAGTGACATTTGTCTTTAGGTCTGTCTGAATGCCTCCACCAACAATTCATATGTACCCACCACTTCTCAGGGACATACCTTATGTTAAAAAGTATATGATATACACATGTGGCAGAATTCTTAATGCAAGATAAAATCACCTATGGTAATAGGAGGTCAAGTGCAGTTTGCCAAGTTGCATGAAGAGGAAAGAAAGCTGGGTCTCAAGGAGCTGGGTCAGCAGGATCAGCTGGCTTACTCCACCCTCGCCTGTATAAACAAGCCTAGCCAAGCTGAAGCCCATCCAAGCACTTAGTGGGTGAACACTTCTGAGAGCCTAAGTACTATGGTTTATACAATCAGCTCATTTGGAAGGAGGAAAAATAATCCTCAATGATCCAAATGACTTGACATTAACCATCTTGAGTCCCTTCAGGGCTGTGAAAGGTAGTTGTGTTTCTAGAGACAACACAAGCCACCTGCATTTCCAAAAGGAATGCCACCTTGCACCCCAGGTGCAGGGAGTCTTCCCTGGCGGCTGCATCTCTGGTAGGAGACCTGTCCTGGTCTGAGTTTTCTGTGTGGACTACCTGCCAAGCAGAATGAGATCAGGGGAGCTCCCAGTCTCGCTGCTTCCAACACAATCTGACTTAGTACCAATAAACGCTGGTTCCTAGAGGTGTGCAAAAATTTCATCTTTGGCTCTCTGCTGGCTGAGCACCTCACGGTAGACAAGACTGGATGAGTCTCTTAGGGATGCAAGTGTTCACGTGCCATTTTATCATTCAAGTGAGTATTAGAGAGTCCTTGGGCGGGACACAGGATGAAAAAGAGTAAGATTTATGAGAAGAAAAGCCAAGGCCAAAGGTGAGAAGGTAAGAAGGTGGATGACAGTGAAATACAGAACACAGCAGCTCAGGACAAGTGGCACCACCAGAAAGGATATCTCGCAGGACTGTCCTTAAGGGCATTGAGGAATCCTGTTTGCTGTGAACCTGTGGGAAGGAAATCAACATTTAGTATCTGACAGTGATCTCCAGAATAAGCAGCCTCACGCTGAGAGTCCATCTATATAAAAATAATAGATGGCTAAAGATCAAATAATTATAGCTGGTAAGGGCTATGGCACCCAGTTTACTGATCAGAGATTGAAAACTCACTTTTCTTGTCAACAAGAAAATGCAGATTCATAATTAGACCCAACATCTGCAGGATATTTTTTTCAATAAAAGCAGATGGATGTCTGCATACTTTCCCATAAATTATAGTTTTGATTACGCTTTTGTTTTCTTCATTTTAATAGGAAAACAGAATACTATATACCATCTTCCCTCCATATTGAACTTATGACTCCAGAAATTCTATAGAAAAGTCTACATATGATACAGACTTTGTTTTTGCACTCAGAGTAAACAAAGTTGTAAAGCTGAAGTTTATTGGTGACTGTTAATGGGTTCAAGATGTTTTAATATGAGCTTGTCTATGCAGAAAACATTTCTGTAGAAGGTAGAGTAAAGGTATATCTGATGAAAAACATTTTTTAATGTATTGGCATCATACTTTTTAAAAGAAAAGCCTATGCAGAGAGGTCATGAAAAATCTCATATTGGGTCATGACATGGAATCCCTCCATGTCATATGGAGCCACTGTGCTTCAGGGGACAGAATGTGGCCCTCAGACAGCGATAAAAGACATAGGAGAACTGGTTGAGACCATACTGGGGCTACCTACCCCCTGTACTGTTTAACTGATGTGGTTGCAAGATGAGAATTAGCAAGTGGCTGCTGCATAACCAGAAAGTGTGTCCCATTCTGGAAAGGTGAAGAGCCTCCAATTCACATTTTTACTGTGTTCCTCTCCCATTTCATTCACTTCCCATAGTAAAGCACAAAAATATGTCAAGTGGACACACTATAGGTCACGGGTGAACACAATTTTGAGACAAACTAGGGAGAACCAAAGAAATTATGTTTTTCTCTACTAAACTCTCAATGTATCCTTTGCCTCAACTCTCCTTCCCCTTAAGGAAATCCAGACTTAACCTTTCCAAGAAAGCTGGAGATCAGTCTTCCCTACTCTCCCTGCCCCACCACCAACCTGGCAGGGAGAACCCAGGTACAGTAATGCAACTAACTTCTCAGCCTAACCTGACTGGGGGCGGGGTGGGGAGGGACTTCCAATGGGGGGCCGTGTGTGAGTGTGGGGCTGAGTATCACAGGCCAGGGGCATGTAGGTGTGAGTGGATGTGGATGTGAGAGAGTGTCTGTGAGTTTGTGAGAGTGTGAAGCAGTATAAGTATGGGTGAGGGTGTGTGTGAGAGAGAGACTGTGTGAAAGTGTTAAGTGTATGTGTGTTTTCCTGGAGTTTATATCACTGAGCAAGTAAAAACTAACCCTAGATAGTCAGAATGTATTAGGCCATATGGACAATCGATAGTATATATGAAAGAATCTGGAACTGTCAAGGATGATATAACAATGTAAGGTAAAATACCACCTTTCAGTGTCACATGTGTGGTGGAGCTGGTGCTTATTTACTCTCCAGTGATGTCAACAAATGCTTCTTTGAAGATGTCATATCACATTCTAGGCTTCCTCCTGCTTTTTTTGTCTGTGAATCCACAGTTAGGTATCTGGCTCTGTTTCTGGAAGGTTGGTCTCTGAAAATGGAGAGCAAGAAGCCTCTCCAGAGCCACCCACAGCACCTAGCTGGTGTGGACGAGGACTCTAGGGAATATAAGTCTTCTCTTGAAAGCCACTAAGATATGGCTTTTGTGCATATGTTAGAAGTTACAAGTTTGGGTCACATTTGTACAATAGGATTATGGTCAGAAACAATGAGACTAGGATGAAAACCATCTGTGAGAGCTTGGATAGTTCATGTAGTGTCCACAGTGGACTAGTGTTCATAGTGGCTGAGTGTGAACCACGCCTCAGCCCTCACGCAGTCCCCATGCAAGAAGGGGAGGGGAGACTCAGCCTGCTCCACTTGTGGGTCAGCACCACCATGGTGGGAGGAGGAGCACTCCGTTCAGGCACTTCTAGAAACACCATCGAGAGAAGCTGTACACTTGGTAATGGGCGGCTGTCCTTCAGGAATGCGGACAGGAGGCAAGGCTGGCCTTTAATGTTGCTTGTGACACCCTAATGAAACTTTAAGTGGCTAAATTGATAGTTCAAAGTCAATTGACTCCCGTCGCATTGCTCACTATTGTAGGAAAGTGAATGAGCAGGAGACAAAAGAAACTGCAGGCTACAACTGTCAGAATGGGGAATGAAAAGATACCATTTGTGTAGGCAAATATACTAAGATCATTTACATCTAAATCTAATAAAGTTGCTTTCTTCATGTGCGAAGGGTAGTTTGACCATTTCTAGCAGGTAACTGAATACTTCATTAAGTGGATATTCTTTTTTTTTTTTTAAGTGTATATTCTTAACATTTATAGATGCACATAAAAGAAAACCTAGTCTTTATCCTCAGACATGTTTTCTGTAGGGGGTGATGTCCTGCAGCAGTTGCTACCTTAGGAGTACTGGTTGTAGCATTCAGTAGCTATCACTGTGTCCTTTGTGTAAAGGTAGAGATGATTTTTTTAGGGGAATCCCTTAACAGAAGTCACTGACATTAGAATGGCAACAATGTTATTAGGGAAGAAGTCTTGTTAACAGAAATGAATCCTGGTCTAGGTGGGACCCCAGAAACTGCTGCTGGAAGGCTAGGGTTGGGGCACGGGGAGAGATGAAGAGGGATGGAGGAAGTGGAAAATGAAAAGGGGCAGGCAGGAAGCGAGGAGGGGAAATGGGGAGAGAGGAGGAAAAGAGAACCCAGAATGATTGAAATATTAAATCAAAATTAAATCAGAAAACCAAGGTCAGGCAAATGGTTACATACGTAATCTGGTTCCGCCAGCATACTTACGAAGAATGACGTGGGTGATAACGAATGCAAATATAAAGACTGTCAGAAAAGACAGGGATAAAATAAACATATAAAAAAATCTGTAGTTTCTTTTCCCCACACAGTTGCCTACCCAGGGACAGTGGTGATCAAACCGTTCTGAAATGAGAGGCAGAAAAAAAGGTGGAAAACAATTAATAAAATGTCTTTTTACTTGATGGATCCCCTTCCCCCATGCACTACCAATAATGTAACAAAACAACATCACAGCACAGGTTTCCCAGTTAACTACTTAGATGCTTATTCACAGAAATACATTTCAGGAACCTAGTTGTTCTTTTAGCAGAATCCAGCTATTTCAGAAAACTAGGTGGATCTACTACTGCTCACAAATGGTCACTGGAAGTAGGAAGATGGATTCTCTTTAGAATTAGAAAGGTAAGGATTTCCCTCTTTCTTGAAGGAAACCTCTGTGCAGTCACATAGCAATCTTCCCTTCAGATGGTGCCACTGCCACTGATGATAAGCGTCAGGCTGAGCTGGGCTGGATGTGACACTGGGTGGCTGTCTGGTATAGTAGGTGGCCATAAAGAGAGGTCACAAGGAACCTGGGACAGAGGGATAATCCTTTATGCTTCACATAAACTGCTCACAAACAGTAATGCAGTTGGCCTCCAAGCATTCCTATGAAAAAAAGGATGATGTTGCCCTATTTTAGAGGCAAGCAAACTGAGGCTTGAGGATACAGGGGCTGCAGACAGAGGGCAGCCAGCTCCTAGGCAGTGGAACTAGCGATGGAGCCGGCACTTGGGGTGCTGCTTCCTCTCCACTGCACAGGCGGCCTGTGGTGCTCAGGGACGACGGAGTGCTGAGCTCTGGCAACAGCATGCTGTGACTCCATGGCCCCCTAAGTGCAAGCCTAAGGCCCAGGATGCATTTATGATTTGCTTTTCTCCTTGCAAGTGAGGGCAAAATGCCTCTCTTTCCTACTCAGCAGCTCTTCTAGGCAGGAGCATCGCTTAGTGTCATTCTTACACAGCAGCTCACATCAGGCTGCCTGCTGTACCTCAGGGGGAGCAAATGCTCAGATTCAACTTAGCTTTGTATTCCAGGCTCTTTGCAGAGTTCACTTTCTGCACAGTTTTCATAGCTTAACTATCTATTATGTGCTTTAAAAACATGCAGCGAAGGCTCTATGAGGTATGATTGCACAAATAAGACAAATAGATCTGGGCAGTCGGTCACTTTCATGACTCTCTTGTCATGCTCCATAAAGCCATCTCCCATGTGATGCTGAATACTTGTTTCCTGAAAAGGACTCAGGGACACTTGGATGAGGGTTGGTGGCACAGGAATTGTAAGGGAATCTCTGTGGTCAGCAAGTATAACCAATCTGAGCAGAGGACATGAGGACAAATTTCAGAGCTCACTGGCTCGGTGACAACCCAATGGCCCCTAAGAAGCTGATACTCAACTGTAGTAATTACTTTTGGCAAGCTTGTGGGAATTCCATGTTCCTACTGCCACTCAGCCCTGGGTAAAAACAGCCTCCCTGGGTTCAAAGGGAGAGTGAGATAAATAGGGAGAACACAGAGAATGCTTAGGGCAGCGGACATACATTGAATAATGATAGATAATATCATATATTTGTCTAAAGTCATAGAATACACAAAACATGAACCCCAGTGCAAACGGTGGGCTTTGGATGACTCTGACACGTTAAGGTTGGACCAGCAAGTGGAACAAATACATTTACACGGGTGCTACAGGGTTGATAATGGACAATGAGAAGTAGTTCTTGGTCAGGGGATACAGGCACTGTCTGTACTTTCCTCTCAATTTTGTTGTGAGCCTAAAACTGTTTGAAACATTAGAGTCTCTGCATATTACCCAATCTTCACCTTCCCAAGTGACTGATCAGTGGTCTGTATGAGAGGTCTATAGAAAGTACAAGAACAGGGGACACAGGGCTGGGTGGGGAGGTTCACTAACATCAGGAAATCCCATGAGGGACAAAGGTCCTGCGTCTCTGCAGTTTATCTCCTGCCAGAGACAGAGTACTAAGAAGTGTCAGGTGGTGGGTTGGTACCACTGGCACCCTGGAGGCCCTTGGGAAATCATTGCTCTACAAGGGGTATGGATCCAGCCTCCCCAGAGCCCTGATGTGGAAGTCACCCCTGTTTGGAAATTTGTTCTTTGAAAACTTTTTGTGGGCTGAAAAAACCTCACAAAACTGCAGGCATGCTGGGAAGTTCTTTTGCTGGCCATGTCTCACATTGCTGTGGCTCTGTGGCTAAGGTTCTGGTGGTCAGTGGGCCCCACAGGCATGGAGTCCAAGGCCCAGGAGAGCCTCACCCCCAATCCTGTGCCCCTAACCTGTGCTCCTGCCTGGCTCCCACTTTCCTCCTAGGTTGCTGTGGGTAAGTGGCCTGGGGTTCAGTGTACCTTGCCTTCTCTCACCTTCCCTTTTTTTCCTTGTCTTTTCATTCCAAGGATACCAACTGCATATGGCCATCATCACATAGTTAACCTTTATTGATAGATTCCCCTACAGGCATCCTAGACTGTGCTTCCAGAGAGACTTCCTGTCATCCTTCAAACACTATCCTTCCCAGACTCCCAGCTTCCCCCAGCCCCACCCAGAACCCGAGGTACCATTTGGACCCTTTCTTCCTTTTTCCCCCAAATCTAACCCTGAGTGAGTCCATCAGCTCTGACTTGCCTTTATCTAAACTCTTGTGTGTTTTACTCAAAATTTTTGTCTACTGAAACACTGATTAAGCTTTAAGCCTAATAAACCCTTGTCAAATGACTGAGCAAGCCCACATACAACCAGAGACATCTGCAAAAGTACAGAGGTTGTCCAAAGTCACTCAGGTAAGGAATCCCAAAACGAGGGTAGGAGCCCAGCCCATTGCTCCCCAAGCCCTAAGCTCCTAACCAGTAAGTACCACACTGTTTTTACTGAGCACCTTCTATAAACCCAGCACTGTCACAGACGCTAAGACTAATATGGAGAAATAACAGCAACACAAGACTCATGGTTTCAAAGAGTTCTTCATCTTATTTGGGAAGGATGCTATTTCCAGGCTCTGAAATATTTCTCCGATAAAAGAAACACAGTGCAAATAACCCTAACTGAGCTTCTAAATCAGCTTGTCCCAATATCATTGCTGGCTGCTCGTGACAGTCTCACTTGGTGGGTCAAGGCTAGTGCAGGCCACGGAAACAGTGGAGGCCTCCGGGCCAGCTGGCCCTGCCCCACAGATGAGGGCCATCTGCACCCTGAAGGCACTACTAAGAGAGCTGGTGGGAAGCTGGGGTGCCACAGGGGGAGCTCTGAGTGGCTGCTTCCAGGCTGGAAGAGTAGACAAGAATGGGGCACAGCTGAGCTGGAGAGAGGGCGAGTGGCCATGGCTGACACGCAACCGAGCTCCCGGCGACTTGAGTGAAGCAGTAATTGGCTGGCAGGACAAACACCTGGAGGAGGGGAGGGGATTCTAACAGCTGGCAAGGCTAGTTGAGTGCAGAGAAGCCTCAAACAGTTGTTATTGGGGGTCAGTTTGTGTCTGTTCTGTGTGGGAAAATGGAACCTGTGGCCTGTGTGCTGAAGGTGGGTGAGTGTGACAGGATGTTCCCGAAAGGAGCATGTTTGTGGTGGTGCACACTTAGAGTCCCAGTGCTCAGGAGGATCACCAGGAGCTCAAGGACAGCCTCACCTGCCTGAGGAGACCCTGTCTCAGAGAGACCACCCCAGAGCTGTTGCATCCTTGGGTGCCGAGGTCTGCATTGGGACAGGAGTGGTCTCTACATCATGCCCTCTCTGCAGAGAGGAGCCACTCCTTGAGGCAAGGCTGCTGACTCAAACACTAGTGGCAGGGAGCTGGAAACCCTAAGGAGTCCTCTAAAACAACTATGAGTTAGCCATTAGCCATCCTTGTAGCACACGTGGAGCAGACACAGGCAGGCTCAAGTATGGGGGCGGGGAGGGGGTATGACTGCCACGGATTTTCTGTGAGTGATGGCTGCTCCTGGTGGCAGGGTGGAGGCAGTGGACAGTGCTGGTGGAAGGCAAGATGTTTGCCATGCTGACCAAAGGGCAAGCAAGATCCTTGTCATTGCACTGTGCTCAAAGATAGCTGAGAGCAGGAAGATGCAGACTCAAAGCTAAGGAATGAACAGGAGAGGAGCCTGTGAGCCAGGGAGGTGGGGTGGTTTCCTTCAAGGCCCCAAGGGTGCCCCAGAGAGACCTAGGAGCTGCAGTGCCACCGAGCCACCTATCTCCGATTCTCAGTGGAGAAAGAAGGTGCCACTAAAATGGGAACATAGTTCAGGAAAAGGAGATGCGGTCCTGTTGTGCTTACCTAATATTTTATTAATGCTTAATGAAAGCTTACAGCCACAGCTGTACCTATTACAAGAACGATATCCTTCACCTGAGAAAAGTCTTTGGATGTAGCCCTGCACCCCTGATCTGCATCCCAGGAGCCCCCTGAGTAGGGGAGAAACCTGGGCCTGCTGCAGCTGTGGGCTGAGCTACTCGGGATCCTGAGCTGTGTTTCTGTGCTTCTCCTATGTTTATTTTATTTTACTTATTTATTTATTTATTTATTTATTTATTTTCATATGTTTAAAGGAATATTTAATTTCTGGAAGCAACTGAATGAAATAAAAGACCTTAGAAGAAGTGGAAAATTATTAGCATTGGCTAGGATCTAAAATTGGAAATATGGAAAGAAAAGTATTTGCAAAAGGTGTGCTTGAAGGCTCCTAGAGAAAGAAATGAAATATTTGGAAAAACGTTAAAAATTTGAAGCCTCAGAGGAGATCAGCCTGTGACATGGGCCCTCCAAATGGGATCCAGAGCCAGGTGTAGACCACATACCAAGGCCAGAGCAGGCAGCCTAGAGCCAGAATTCAGTTTTCCAAGCAGCTTGGACATAGAGGTCAGAAAGAGTGTGTGTGTGTGTGTGTGTGTGTGTGTGCACGCGCGCGTGTGTGCTTGTGTGCGTGTGTTGGGGCATGTGGGGTGTGCAATCCCTTCTTGTTTGTTCCCATCTTGTCTTGACAATCCTGAGAACTAAGGGATGGAATTGTGCAATTAAAGTTTAAACCTTCTAATTTAAATGTTAATTGCATTCAAATTAAGTTAAATATTT